ATCTTACTATTCTCCTGATTTGCACTATTAAACTGCACTTTGCTGCAGAGGAGGGGTGGCTTCACCCTTACATTCCTGTGCAACACTGAGACTGACCCGGCACAATGCTACAGTACAATCTGCCCGCATGCTGTCAGACACCAAGGGTCCATTGCAAATTGTACAAGACCTGCTTACAAAACCCCAAAAAGAAGCACAGAGCAAATAAAACTTCAGAACACAACCAAAGCATGTACACACAAAGGAAGTGGGGTTAAGAAAAACTGCTTAAGACACACAGAGCAAACATAGCGCTCCATGTGAAACATAATATTTACATATCAATTCAGGTAACAATCACATCATACGTCAAGGCACTATTTCTGAATTCAGGGCTTCCAAACTGGATCACATACATTGAAAAGTCCCTCAATTAGTAACGAGTTAAGACAAAAGTCAGTTTACTTCAGTTCATAACAGTGGAGGAAAAAAATAATGCTGTGTACCTTTGCATACCGTTAAGGAAACTGATTTTTTTTAAAGATATGACAATTAATAAGTGATTGGAATGATGGCATAAGCAAATGTTATCAACGGTCAGTGTTTGCAAAGACCATGACTGTACCTCCGGAAAAAAAATGTATAAAAAATAGTTCAGACTCCCAATCTCAACTTCATATTTTATTTCTTCCCCTACCAAAAAAAAAAAATCACCCTCTATTCCACCACAAACCTTTCAGTTCGCCTGCCAAAAGATGTTTTGTTGTTACAACAGAGCCAGATGAAAGCTCACATTAAACAACCTGCTCCCACAGACCTCAGTTTATTTTTTAAATATCATGACCAATTGTCTTATCAACTCCTTGCACACCAGTAATTACAGAACAATGTCAATATTATACAGCACTACAGTGATACACAAGACCACACACATACAAACATCTCTTACAGATTTAACAACTTCTTAAACCTGTTCATGGAGGTCCACGGCGCAAGCACAGTAGTAGTTCATAATTACCAAGTAGGAGCGGCTCAGAACGTTTTGAAAGATTCACTGATAAGACTTACTGTTGTGTAGGATTAATGCTTCAGCTCAGGTTAAGGGTAAATATCATTGATATGAACACTATTTACATGTCACTATATTTGACTAAAGCAATCTTATTCTGGATGACTAAATTATAGCTACAAAACTAGAAGAAATAGAATGTTCCGCCCTACATGTTAGCTTAAAAGACAGCAAGCAAATGTTTGTTTGTATGCTACCAGCTACAAACCAGATTTTATTTCTTTGCTGTATATTTGCAGGAAACTATAACTCAAAATATGTTTCAGATCATTATCATCTGCGTGGTTTCATCCTGTGATTAACCACAGTGGAAACATCATGAAACAACTTTTTTTATACCTACCCCACAGCACTTTTATTGTGGAAAACATCTCAGACATAAAATAAAATAGAAAAAGGGACATATTTCTTAGATGACAGTCTCGGTTCCTTGTGGCCTGAGACTGTTACATGAGCACTTTTTACTGGCAATGACAGAGCAAAGGAATCACATCATTCCACATCTGTATCCGGTAACCGGGTGTAAAGAGGCCTTCCCCGTTTCTGCCCTCGGGCGCCAGAGCAACAAGCACCGGGCTGGAGCGCTTCCAAACCGTGCAAAACACTGAGCCACCAGCCTTTATGGTCCCACAATGCCTTGCAAGCGAGACGTGACACAGCTCGTGCTAGCATCGCTGCCAGAGCTCCTGCCCCCGGGACGTCACGGGGCTGTCCGTCTGTCGAACAGCACGACAAAGACACTCGGGCCGCCTCAGGCCCACGCAGCGCCGACCGAGCTCGGCTGGGGAAATCCCCATCGCACTCTATTATACATGAAGGACTTACCCCGGCTCAGCTCGGCAATGTCAGAACCACTGGGCCTGCCCGTACACCGAACAAGGCCTCGTGATGGATTTCCTACAATTCTGTACTTAAGGAAACACCGGTAGATTATAAGGCTACACAATTTACAAAATAGCCCTGTCAACATGGACATACAACTGCATTTCATTATTTTTTTGGCCCATTACTGGTAAAAGCATCAACGCGTGGTGCTGAGCGTCCCGTGAGTCAAGATTTAAAATGGAATATTAAGATGCAATACAAGATGAGTCTTCTCTTAAAAAGAGTTTTTTGTACCAATTTGCATCTTATTGTACCACACAAATTTTAACCAAATGACACGTTGAGTCAACGCACCAAGCGCGGGCTAGATTTTATTTGCAAGACACCTGAAAACCATTAAAAATTAAAAAAATCATGCAGTGTATTCCACATTAAGAGAGGAATGAATCTCTTGTCTTTCTAAAGGAAATATTTAAAGAAAAGTATGAAAGCAGAGCACACGTCTTATTGCAATTTTCAGGGCCTGACTGTTGTGGGGGGCTTTTCACACTAAGCTTAGTGGAAAATTACAAACTTGAGCTTGGTTGGGCACTACAGAAGAAGTGCTCAAGTGACCAATGTAATAGAATAGAGTATTTATAATAACCTTGATGTTAAAGATCATATTTAGAGAGGACAGCGGGTAAGGGTAAACATCACTGACATGAATACTATTTACACATCAGTGATATTTACCACTGGTAGAAGTCCGTAATTCTTCAGACGTACCGAAACTCTTCCGTTAGCTTTTCCTTTATAGTCTTTGGCTGTTTCTCCTTCCTATGCAGCAGCTGCGTCCCAATGTACTCCTCGTTGTACACAGGGCGCTCCACAAAGTACATTAAAGTGCTAGAAGCATCCTCTTCTTCCGTTACATGTTCCATAACAAGACCGCCCAGTACATTTCAACAACGTCGCCAGCACAACGAGTGGACACCAGGGCTCGCTCTCCCTCCCTGAAGCTCTGTGGAACAAACAAACACACACACAAGCACAGGAGAGTGAGACTATATCCCAGTGGGGTCAATGTGACGTGGTGCCATTTTTAATAAACCCATATTTAAGAAATCGAGTTATAGTTCTCAGAAGCCACAGAAAACACCCAGTAACAGAATCATATCATGCAAAGTATATAAATTCCATTGGATGTTATTCACAGGAGTAAGGAATACCACCCTGCAGCCTGGAAAACAGAAAAGGGAATACACAAACTACATTAAGAACACAGATCCTGACTAAACTTCAAGCGGCCTTCCAATTACATATGGCGGCCCCACTGCTTGATGTGTGCACAGTAGTCAGGGGTTACAATTTAGCTTCCACTGGCAGGTTGAAGTTTTGATTTTGGTCCAGGCCATAAGCTCTTAAATCCCTGCCGAATCTGTGCTAATTCCATCTGATTCTGGTCTGACCTGTGAAGGCCAACGCAGATTTCTTCAGAGATCAAAGGCACTGTCCCGAGATAACAGAGCGCTATCCTTAGTAGACGCATCAAGCAGAGCAATTTAGTTTCACCTAGATTACATTAAATATGCATTCAATCCAAAACGTATCAATATTTGTGCTACTCAAGTCAGACGGTATGGATATGAATGCTTTGACTGCCTAAGACAGACAGAGGAGGCAGAGTGAGAGCTGTGTCTGGAGCCCATTTCTTTCAGGCTCTGCAGCAGGAGGGCAGGGTCCTGGGACAACAGCCTCACTGGCTCCAATGTGATAAAGTCACCAAACGCCTTGTAAGTAATATTCCAACTCCACAAAAAAAGAAAAAGGTGCATTTAAAAATATCAAGATCGCCAAAACAACAGGGACAACATTACCCCCACTTTACTGAGCAGCTAACCTAGGCTTTGTCTACGAATGGAGTCATTCTGCTTCAGATATGACAATAACCCCGTTGTATATTGACTAGAGGCCAGCGGGAGTCAGTTCTGCTAGGTCTCACCAGACACTCACAGAAGGATGGGTTCAACTTAACTTACTTCCAGGATCCTTTTACTATATGTATCCACCCAGCCAAGGAGCGCTCTTAGAGAATTTTCATGAATGATACAAATGTCATTTCTACCACAATTTTAAGTAACATAACCCTTAGTTGGAGGTGCTCAGATTGTTGTTGTGATCGTAAATGAAAATACATAACACTGCTGTGTCATCATACAGATTCATTAAAATGGTGTCCCTGCAAAATAACTGCCAGTTGCTGCAACAAGAGGCGTTAGAGTGCAGGAAGATGTCTAGTGGTTTGTTTGGTGATGCCATTGGAAATGGTCCAACTCCAACGTTCAAGAGGTTCCTCCAGACTTTATACTTTCTCGTGAGGGAGCTCTCAGATAAGTAATCCCCAACTCACAGCGTTTCAAGTTAGACAGTGTCTGCCTGTGTATTGCGGATACTGTGGTCAGTATAGATCTGCGAGATGCCTGCCTTGGTAACACTGTTGCTAAGTAATTCACCTCCATGGCCTCTCCAGTTTACACCACACTGTGCAAGAGGTGCTTTGATTTGTTTTGTTTTTTTTCAGGTAGAGATAAAAGGCGAAAGAAATTGATTTTTGGAATGAAATGGCCATGGCAAGATAGTTTCCACTGCAATTATCACAGCTGCCGGGATCTGACCTTTCTAACCAAAGTGCTTCACAATTGTGTATGCAGAGAGATGCGTTACATTACGAAATGTTTTGTAACATGCCCCTGGTATGTCATCATAATGCAACAAGAAAAAAAGAACTTTTGAGGATTAAAGTACTTTCTCTCAAAGAAAAATCTCTCAAAAAAAATAATCCACAGCATAGTTTTGTTTTTTTTAGTTTAATAATTGGCCATTTATACAGCAGAAAGGATTCAGATGGCATATATTAACATAACCCGTAGCAATACGCAAACGCAAACCTAAGACTTATTCTGTCCAAAATATTACAGTTCTCTAATCAACTTCAATCTCAGATCTTCTGCAGAATCAGATTTTAGAGTATAAGAACGGTTACCAACAAGAGGAGTCGGTTTAAAAAAACAGTAGCTTGTTCAATACCCTTACTACACTTTGGGTAAAAAGGAGACTCAAAGTTACGACAACACCGATTCACTGACTGCTTCATAAGCTGGGTTTTCAGTAAACATTTAGCATTCCGGACCACTGCTATACAGAAATATTTCCAGTCGGAAGCCTACTGTAAGACTTCAGTCTGTGGAATTAAAAAGCTCCGTTAGTACTGAACATTTCAAGTCAAAAGAATGGTGGCATGTTCTGTACTGTCTTAACGATGACAACACTTTCTTGTTAAAACACGCTGGTTTGCAATGCCACTTTCACTAATGTCTTTCAAACAAACGCAGACTTTATGTATGAAAATGCCAGGGTTGTCCTATAATCCAGCGTTTAATTGCTGTTTCTTTCATTTGAAAACATGTTCAGGCTCTCTTTGTTACCACTAAGCGAGAGAACACTATCAACTGCAGCACAGATTTACACTGGTTATGTGAGAAAGGAGCAGCTTAATGGGCTAAAAAGTCTATGTGAAGATGGATAACACAAGCTAATTTCTTAATTTCAGCACATGTAATGTCTTCTAGATTCATACAGTTTCCAAATACTTTTCTAAAAGAAGCTCTGAAACTTCCACTGGTAGTGTCTACATGATTTCCATACATGCTTGACTGAAGCACTACTCCATGTGCAATTTTATACATTTTATTTGACCAAATTCCCAATTTATACTTTTCTATATATTTAATCAGTCATCAGAGTTTCCCACTTGTTTTCCTCGCAGATGCCTATACGAACTCCAGCACTTCGAGCTCTTAAAGCAGGAAAGCCCACCAGTGTAAAACAGGATTTGACAAGTGTGAGTTAAAAAGGAACAGGCAGGGGTTACTCTCGTGATGGAGAGCTCAGAATAAAAGGGAGAGAGCACTCTGAGGAACCTCTGCTTCTTCCTTAGCAGTCTGCCCCTCACTGGAACCTCTGGCCTGGGCCACTGTCCAGCTGCGTGCTAGACTGGCTGGATAACGACTGAATACAGAATCCTTCTGGTTTTATTTGCCTTCTGGTGAATGGAAATGGCAAAATTAAGAACTGCAACACCCGCTGCAGGTTTCCACTCAGTGTGCTATCCGTTATTATCTGAATGTCTTTTAAAGATCAGATGCTGTCTGGCACCGCTGTTTTAGAACTACGTACCAATATCACATCTTGGTCAGGGATTTCAACAACTTATTCCCTTCTGCCCCAGGATTAGCCTTATTTAGCTTCCTTTCAAAATTGATGAGCCTTTTCATAATATTGTATCCAGGATGGAAAAGAACTGCAGAGCAACATGGAGCCAAGCAGCACAAAACACCTCCCTAACCCCCAAGAACAAGCGTTTCCCATCCTGTCCACAAACTCCAACTGCTCGAATATTTGCTCGAATATTTGCTAACTAATTTCCATAATTATAAACGCCTCTTTTGTTCTCAACAAGAAAAACGTGAACGTATACAGGGTTAGTCAAAATGTTGTCGACAAGTAGAGATGCCAATGATTTGACTAAAGTTTTTTTTTCTCCTCTACAGATGGCGAACGATTATAACTGTTACAAACTTTGATATTTATGCTTTCGTTTGAAACCTTTTTTTGCCACAGTAACCCCTGTAATTAATTTGCAATAAAAACCGTCAAAGTTGTTAAAAGCATTTAGACCAATCCTGTATTTAATGTCCCATGTTACACCTTTTAGAATGACATCCCATTTGTAAATGGAGTAAAATGTATGTAAAGTGTTTTCATTGATTCAAATTCTTGGACTGCATTACAAATTTTGTCAAATTCTAGATGCTGTAAAATTTTCATGGTACAATATCTGCACTAAATGAGAAGTTTGTATCCTACAGGCTTAGGTTTAAAATAATTCACGAAATTAAACAAGCTTTTCTCCCTGCCGAAAGCATTCAAACTCCAGGCTATAAAACAAATGTTTGGGTTCATTTGCAAGTCATCAGTTGTGCGATTAAATTTTACTGCAGCATATTCAATTTGCCCAGCTGGTACTTATTGGCAAGCGCACGTGTTAAAATGGGGTTTTGAACTGCAATAAGCCTTGCTCAAATGTTCTTCTCAAACACTTTGTCTGATGGTATTTCTGGATTTCTAGCAAAATGTTTCTGGGTGAATTAAAACGGTATAAAAGTACTGTCTGTCAGTCTCAACAATTCCCCGTCTGGCCAGGGGAAATATTACTATAGGACTATAATGACAAATAGACAATACTGCCGACAGATCATCGGAAAGTCGTAGCACTGTGACTAATTTAACCTTGGTTACATTCTGATATGCCCAAAGTGGAGAAGCCCAGACCTATTTTGTTTCATCCAAACCGACCACTCTCGAATGCTCTACAAGCAGGAATGTTACAGAACGCCTTACAGAAACGTCATTACAAGAGCTCCTGTTCTGGCAGACACGTAACCCTGAACTTGAAATTTGTGTGCCGGCTTCCTGCTGAACTTTCGCACGGTCCTACCCATAAATTACCCACTAGCAATCTCGTCTGTCCTCCCCACAAGACTACGAACTGAGGGAGGTAGGGCCACCTCCTGCTATTCAACTAGGCTTCTCAATTACTCCAGGAATTCTCTATCTACTTGTAAATCTCGTCTTAAAACGTATTTCTTGAAACTGGCATTCCACCAGATTTGTATAATACAGACTGCTGTATACTGATGTATGCTGAATGATTTTATTTTTCCTGGTGTTTTTGTGTGTGTGTGTGTGCGTTGAGACAACTATTTACTAATAGCATTTGAGAAAAAGTTCAGTATTACGCTAATTGACAAATGCGGACTAAACCCCCTCAGCAGGCGCTGGCCTCAGTGCTGCTTTCCTAGAAGAGAATACAGGAAGGCGCCGTGTAGAAAACCGAAAACTGGAAGTTAAGTAGAAACTCCATCTCTGCTGTACTCACGTATGAAGACCCGTACTGATTAGTAAAACCAAAGATATTTCTAATACTTCGATATTAAACGGAAGCAACACATTGAAAAAAATATCGAAAATAAAACAGGACAAAACTAATTTCTCTAGCATGTGGCAGGTTTACGTCCTACAGCATCAACAGAAAACTTGAAGACTATGTATAAATTTGAATATATAGGGAAGCCGCTACAGCTGTCCACTTAGCATGTGTGATCAATGTGAGTGATGCTTGTTGCTGCCAAAAAGCGTGGTTTTCGGTCATTCCCGATAAAAATAGATAAATCTCAAATGGGGAATAGCGTTTTTTCTTACCTTTTTCAACCAGTCTGAAGTTTGGGCTTGATGAGAATCAAATTTTACCGCACAACGGAGTCTCTAGTTACAGTTTAACACTGAAATGTCCTTTTGCAGCTGACAAGTCCTCTCACGGTAAAACTCACTGAGGACAGCCTGCGAATACCGTCATGAGCCCCGAAGAGTCCTGGGAGTTGTATTTCTAGGTCTCTTTCTGCTCCGCCTCCACGACCGAGCACAGGACTACAAGTCCCAACCTTATAGCGCTGACGAACACGATTTGTTTAAGGCTTTCAATCCGGTTTTTAATTTCGGTAAAGGAGCATGTTATCGTAATCAAGTGTAATGAGTTAGACAACAGAAGATTCAGCGACTGTGTGTGATATGAATACATAACTATCGCTATATTATGTATACATTAGTATGTATTTGAGACGGTGTGGTATACGATTTATCCCCTGGAAATCTGTATTACCAGCCGAAATGCGCATGCTCGGCTATTTCAGGGAAGCATGTTGTTTTTCTCACCCTCCACATATAAAATGATTTATATGCAACACATAAAGATCAAAGATGCACACAGCTTTTGTGTGCTTTCTTGCGGTTCCCCCATTTCGTTTAAAGATAACTTATGATTTCATTAATGTGGTTGTGGTACACTATTTTACATACAAATCCCTAGTAAACGCATTGGATACGCCGAGAAACAAACAACGGGCTCAAGTATTCTTACTGTAACATCAGTCTGAGGATGTTACAAGCCTCAAGCAACATTCTTCCCACAACTCATTATTTCACTTCCACAGTGTAGTAAAGTAGCTCAGCTTTATTATATAAGAAGTAAGAATGTGTTCATGATATATTCCAGATTTTAAAATGTTATCGTTGCCTCACTCTAACAGTAATGATTTAGAAAAGCTCAAGCTGACAATAAATTCAGGACTCAGGGGAATATTTTAATCTCAATACTGTATTATTTAATTTCTTATTAGTTTCATTTAATCTTTCACTACCCACCTGTCATAGATGAATTATAATTAAAGTTTCATTTGTTAAATACATAAAACATCTTAGTTTACATTTTATTCCACCTTATACAAGAAGGACCCAGTAGAGTATATTGCAGAAATGATCTTATAGTGTCTCTTTGTGTTTCATGTTTCACTCCTTGAAAGGAGGGATCAGAACAGGGACAAGAGATAAGAATGAGTCGTTGATAGGAAGGGTGTGGAACTGTCAGAAGAGCCCCATCTATTCCCTATCTGTTGACCCTGTGAAATGTATGTTTCAAGATACTGCTGTCAGTTAAAGAGATTGAAACTAATAACTTACAGGGTGCATACTAAGGTCTTATTTTAAACAAATACTGTACTCTGCTCTCCTCCCCACTGATAGCTGATGTGTGGTGAGCGTTCTGGCACAATGGCTGCCGTCGCATCATCCAGGTGGGGCTGCACATTGGTGGTGGTGGAGGGGAGACCCCATTACCTGTAAAGCGCTTTGCGTGGAGTGTCCAGAAAAGCGCTATATAAGTGTAAACAATTATTAATAATTATAATCACAGAAGTTACACAAATGCATGTGAGATTATTGATTGGCACTAGTAAATAGGTTGTTGTGGGGTCAAATTCAGGATGAAGTACAACTGTTGCAAGTTAAATCACTCTGAGTACTCCAGTAAAATGTTCAGTTGTGTAAAGATGTCCATTGTAAGATTCTTTGGGTAAAATTGTGAACTAAATTAATTAATAATAACAAGGTAATTCACAACTTAATGCAGCAATGTACAGTAGACAGAGTAGTCCCATTCCCACGCCTCCAAATAAAACATGCAGGACATTAAACAAGGTCGAAGGTTGAGGTCTGGCATGTGAAAATTTCATAGCAAACCATGGCTCTTATCAAGAAAACTCTGAAGACAGCTTTTTTCCACAGTTCGAACACATTATTTAAAGCACTGTTCAGAGCAGTGAATTAGCCCTTTTCGGAAAAAAAAAGAATGACACTGAACTGAAGAAATGCCAGAAAACCTTTCCAAGCAACACTTCAGCATTCAACTCCTGATATATGATAACAAAGTGCCTGCAGTGCTCCTTTGTGCTGTGGCTGGATGAACAGAACACAGTTTGTGCTCCGGAGCAATGGAAAGCTACCGGTTGTCCCTGACAACAAGAGCATAAGCAGGGGAGGGAACACAGAGGCCTGTCCGTGGTGCACGACTGAGAGACACAGAGATGGCTGGGATGTCCTCAACTAAGCTTCAGAATTCAGTGACAAAGGAAACCAGATATGACAACTGGTCGAGAAACCAAGAAAGAATAAAGGGGCTGTCCATCAGATCACTTTATTGGCCATATACAATTTCTTGTATTAGGAATTTGTCTTTTTGCATACCCCAACTTGCTGTCCATGAGACACACGGGCACACAAGGAGAGAAGCTTGGGGTCAGAGCACAGAGTCAGCCATTTATATGGCACCTCTGGAGCTTTTGGGGTTAAGGGCCTTGCTCGGGGGCCCAACAGAGTAGGATTCCTCTGCCAGCTGCAGGATACGAACCAGCAACCTTCCAGCCACAGGCACAGATCCTCAGCCACAGAGCCACCGTACTACCCTGGTGTCTTGATATGTCTCTTTTACAAACCAAGCTGAAGCCCTCGAGAAACCGAACAAAATGTGGGTATGTGTTCCAGGAGGAAATCTGAAAATGACTTAATACCAAGTTGTCACCTGTACAGAATGAATGATCAATATGAAGCACAGGTTGAATGAACAGATTTCTAAAGACTACATTGATGTAAGGATTTATTCTCTCAAGATGTTGCCTTTGAGTAACAAGTGTTACTTCTTCTCAGTTAGGAAAACTTTAAATGAAATATAAAAACAAACAAATAACAAGTTTATCATACGGATCTTCTTGCACTCTCTGTCTCAATCTGCTGTCCAGCTGTCACTCGCATTAAATCTAATGGTTTTTTTTAATTTTTTAAATCTATAGGACACCACTTTTCTAACACAAATGAAAGAACACCCCACGAAAGTCACATTTAGAAGAATACAGCTGTAATGCACTGCAATAGGCTGCTTGAGCTGACTGTATGCCAGGTTGGAATCCAGTTTTTGGTCACCCTGGTTGAACCATGCTGTGATTTTAAAATGGATGGATAAGACTATAAGAAAAGAATAAAAAAACAAGAACAGCTCATTCAACCTATTTTGCTTGTTTGATAATGAGTTGTCCACCTGATTCCTGAATCCAATCATTTCTTGAAAGATACCAGTGGCTCCGATAGCTGGGATTGAAGAATAGTTCGCTCCTGCTTAAGATCCTAAATACTGTACTTTGCAACTTTGATTTCGGACTCTGAGCACTTGTTGTGGTCCTAGTACCTAAAATACAGTCATGACTTGGCTTTGCTGTGTCAACATCTTGAGGATGTTCTCAAACACTGTAATCACATACCCTGAAGCTCTCCATCATTCAAGACGAAAGTACTGTATTTCAATTCCAGTATCCAGTCTATGCATCACAGCTGCATTCCATTGAGGCCAGGAATAATTACAGTCATCTTCCTGGCAACTTTTAATTATCAACAGTATATTGTTTGTAACAAGATTACAGTTGAACAGACTGATATTCTGTATCAGTGGCTCCCAGCACTGTCCCCGGAGGAACGCTGTCTGCTGGTTTCCATTCCAGCTGACTACTTAATTACAGGCTAATTCATGACTAAACTGATCTGCTGCCTTGTTTATTTTACTTGTTTCTTAGAATAGTCCTGAATGTCAAAAATACCCTGATTTAAGGATACATTTTCAGCCAATTTCAGCGCACAGAACAGTACACAGCCCCTCCTGAATTTGCTTTCAACTATTGTTCACTACACAGCTCTTATAAGTGACATACAGACACAGGCGGGAATAACACTGCATCAGACACTCCCACAATAAGCATTTTTCCTTCTGCAGGGGTTGAATTAGTTACATTTCAGATAACACATCTGAATGAAACTCAGAAATCGGTACAGGGTGGATATCAACTACAAATCCCTTTTGACCTTTTAAATGCAAATTTACAAATTGCCCCAAAGAAAAAGGTAAATCAATGAGCCTGTGATTAAGAACTCCTCTGGAGAAAAAAAACCAACAGAAGAGAGTGTTCTTCCAGGACCAGGTTTGAGAACCAATGGTCCTGGTTCTCATACAATACGATATCTTGTGTAGCTTAACTATTAACCTTTACTACATTTCGATTGTAACTGTATCCAACCATCTTGCTTGCTTCCCTGCACTGTCTCTAAGTACTTCCCAACACATAAAAAATCACTTGACGGTGTTAAAATCAAGACACTTACAAAGAAAATACCAGATCCAGAAGATAAAAAAAAGCACAAAAGGCCTTCTTTTAGGATAGTGTAAACCCCTAAATCAGGGTTGTCAAACTCATTTTCTTGAAGGCCTGGAATCTTCTGTTCATGGTCACATAGTTCTTCTGATTACTTAATTGACTGCATAAGCTTAGTACTTGCTTAGTACCCAACTGCTCAGATTGAAACCAAAAACCAGGAGACACCAAGGCCTTCTTCAGGTTCAAGACCAGCAGCTGATATGTATAGTGTACTTTATCACTTCCTGCATAATTCATTTTTCACTTTGTCTGCACTGAAATTATTTCACTCTGTGTGCCCCCAATCATGGACTCTGATTTACCATACTCCTGGTGCTGCTCTCACAGTGTTAGATCTTATATAGCAGCCAAAAGAGCGTTATGATAGAGTGTACGATCGTAACATACACTTGACCTTGACCTTTGACTCATCCTATGTGTATTTGAGCCCAGACACACAAAACCCTTTAGTTTCTCAGGGTTAATATTAGCATACTGTGGAATTGTAATAAATTGACCAATGACGCCTCCTAGTGAGCATACTGAAAAAGACATAAGTTAGGTGCTTCTCTTTTTGCTCTACGTGGTTTTACTACTGTGAACCCAGAAATGCAAAAGATAAGCAAATGTAACGTGTGCCGCGTGAGACACATCTTTTTTGATTGATGATTTATGACATATGATTTATTTTTATGTCTTTTGCACTGCTGGGCCACCGTAAGAAACAGAATCATTGCATTTCCCCAAGTACGTACAGTAACATGTACAAGGAATTTGATCTGGTGTGATGGTGCAAAAAACATAGAAATGATTCAATAATACATGTACACTTTACACATAAACATGCACAGGTCGACAATTATATGCACACTGCATCCCATATTCGTATGTTCTGGTTAAGCAGGGTGACGGCCATGGGGAAGAAGCTGTTCAGATGCCGCTCGGTTTTGGTTTGATCAACCGGTAGCGTCCAAGGTGTCCTGAATGAGAGAAGTAATTGAGAATCTTTTCTGCTAGCTTCTTTAATCTGTGAGTATACAGGTCTTCAATAGATGGAAAAATGACAGCCAATGACTCTCTCTACACAGCGGACAATGCGTTGCAGTTTTCCTCTAGAGTGGACTGACGCGTTGCCGAACCAGTGACTGTCACGGATGTCAGAAGGGACGAACCGTGGAATGGCAGGAGAGCGGAAAAAGTTAGCCCGGGCTCAGCTGTTCAGGAACAGCCAGGAAGTTCAGGAACTGCCGTATAGAAACCTATGCCCTCAGGTAGCGGACGTGGGGCGACCTGGTGCTAGGCGGGTTCCAGGACATCCGAACCTCAATGCTAAGCGAGGAGCAGACACTGGAAGTAAATAGGCTACACAACAAGACACACCAGAAAGACATGAATAAGCACAGGGAACTAAGAACAGTAGAGAAGTAGAGCGCCCTCTAGGCGTACTGGGCGTGACAGTGACAGAAGCTGAGAGAATGATCTCAATAATGCTCACTACAAACTGAATGACAGTTGACTGGGAAAACATTAAGATTGTTCAGTTGACACAGGAATGCAGGAAATACAGTTTCTGGTGCAATTTCTTTGTGGTGCTGGTAACATTCGCAACCCATTTGAGCGTGTCAGAGATGGTTTTTCTTAGAAACTGGAAAAACTCCACCATGCTCACTGACAGTTTCTAGGGGGATGGATTTTTCCCACAGTCAATGAACATTTCCACTGAGACAAAAAAAACATTTCCCAGATGTGTGTACTACTCTTTCAAAGAATAGATTTCAAACATTACAATCCAGGAAATTTCCACAATTTCAAAAATGTAAAGCGACTCCCGGAGGTGATGGTCCATTATCAATCTATTGTTTTAGCAGGTGGTCGTTAAGGCTGGAGTCGCACAACAAAGTCCCTCCAAACCTCCCGGGTGTGACCACTTGCTGTCGCTATGATCTGTCCTGGCTCTGAAACCGCGCTAGTCCAGTTTTCCGCAGGAGCTCAAAGGAGCGGGTGTTTCTTCCTCGGTCCCTGTACAGCGCCCACAGTCCCTTCCTGCGCTCCTTCGCCGTAGAGAAGCCCCTGAGGCAGGGATCCGCTCCTCCAGCTCCCTCGCCCTCTGTTCTGTACTGGGACTGTTGAGCTGAAGGCTGCTGTTGACACACCGCACTGCCAGACGTCCCGGTTCTCTTCTGTGCCTGATCTCTACCCCACCAGGGGTCAGTCGTTGGTGTAAAGGGAGTACAGCAATGGGGAGAGAACACAGCCTTGAGGTGCCCCTATGTTCACAGATAAGCAGTCTGACAAGTAAGAGGAGGGTGGAGAGCGGAACAATAAAATGAGAGGAGGCGTTCTGGGTCGATGGTGTTTAACCCAGAGCTATGTGTCTGACATGTTCCTGGACATAACAGATGATGCAGGATATAATGGAGGTGAATATCAACAGCATCTGGCTCTGTATGCAAATTGTAAGGAGTCAAGATATGAATCCTGTCTTAACCATGATTTAAAATATATAATCATAAGTTCTGTAGTCAAAAGAACATCGGGCCTGTACATCACAAATAATGTCTGACATTTGCCATTGTTGGACATAGCCAGATACTTTAATTGAATCCGCTTTTTCCAATGAAAGCCTGTGTGGAGAAATGAGACCATCACTTCCTGATGGGATTTAATATGATTCACCTGCTTTGCCTCTGTAATCAGCACTCCGCTCTTGTTGAAGATGTCCTAGATGCAGCCGAAGTGCTGTCATTTCTACGTTCAGGAGGTTTTCAAGTAACAGCAGACAAAGCCAGGGGAGTAAGAATACGTATTCAAGAGGTTCAAAGGTTTCACAGCGGCGGCTCTGTCCGCTAACAAGGGAGTTATTGTTTCGCTGTGCCCCCTCGGTGTCAGCCTACCGCGCCCAGGGGAGTTCGCTGAGGGGGGCCAGGTGACACAGGCTCAGGAGTTTCACCTCACCGAGAGAGACGGCCGGAGGAGAGACACAACAGCTTCTAGGACTGACACACTAGCACGAATTTGCCGCGACTCCGAACAGATTGAATACTTTCTTGTTTTTAAAGTGACTCGGAAAAGAGCCTGAATCGTTTTTTATACCATATAACTCTCGAACATTTTTTTACGTGAATAAGACGTTTATTTTCAGCTTCACGTTCCTTTTAGTAATTGTCTCAGTCCTGCCTTTTTCTTGTCCCTTTGCTACTGCTACTTTTCGTTTCTTTGCGCTTCGCTGTGTCTTTTTTTGCGCCAGTCTGTGCTGCAGCAATGCTCTTAAAGCTAACCTAAAATGCGGTTTATGTGAGCATGTGGGAAAATGTTGTAAGAACCTTGCGGCTGCTTAAAAAGTGCTTAGAGCCAGTGTTAATTGACTAAGAAATTAGCAAATGAATTGTTCTCTCTCAGTCTCTAGCATCTCCTTTGAAAGTCTATCTAAGTCTAACATAAGCGAATATAATAGTCTGTTGCAATCCAGACTCTTTTTGGAAAAAAAAAACATTGGTTTTAATGTAAATTTATAAACAATTTGAATAGGTTCAAGATTTATCATTAAAATTATTCAGTTTCTTTAAATACAAACCTTTAAAATTTAATCTTGAGCGTGACCGTAAATGCTCGGATTTCGATTGCGATTTTTTAAAATCAAACACTGTACACTGAACTCCCTATCTTCCTCTATCCCATCACAGAACAGGCTCAGATTCAGAATCGCTGACTGTTCAGGAAAAGGGAAAATGCGCGACACAAAGTATTAGTCGTGATAACCGGTGGTGTAAAATCGCTCTAGTTGACTTGCAGACACTCCCACCTCTAAACAGGTGTTCCCTTCTGGAGAGCGCCGGAAGAGAGACTCGGACGGGATTGGCCACCGTGCTTTCGCTCTCTTGCATTGGCCTCAAGGCGTGTGCTTTCGGAATCAAAGCCGAAACATTTTTTTTACCAAGTTGCTTGTGAAGGTTGACTCAATAAGGAAGCGTGGAGCATGTGAAGATCATTTCAGATTTTTTTTCCCTCCCGTGAATCTCGATTGTTGTATACGCTTGTATTATTACGCAGAAATGTACGTCTGTCAGGGAAAGTAAGGGCACATCAACCGAGTAACTGAGGCACGAATTGTACCTTGAACTGCAGGCAGTGGAAGGAAAGGTTGGACTCTACTGGTGCTTGAAGTACTGTACCGGTATAAAACATGGGAAGGAGACGCATAGATACCTACAAAGAAGATTTTACTTTTGTCAGCCGGATAGTTAAATATCTGCTTTTTATTTTTAACATGATCTTTTGGGTAAGTTTCTTTTTGTTACTTGTTTGTCTAGAATACACACATTTAAAGGGAAAGCCCCCAGACTGTTATTGTTTGATCTCGTCTCGTCAAACCACTGTTGCATTTTCTGTGTTGAGGGCCAGCAGAATCTCAGGGATTTCCAAAAAGTCACGCGAATGCCATAAGTAAAATAACTAAAGTTCAGGGTTTTTCGGGCTATTTACCGACATGATGATTAGTACCAATATCGAGAGACCGTTCGCCTGATGAGCATATGAACAATCGCTATTTCTGTTTCTAACTGTATCATTTCGGGCATAGTAGAACATGTAGACGTGCGACAACGTTATCTTTTTTCTTTTTCGTCGTTGGTTATTGCAAAAAAAAATAGGTCATTATATATAGCGTGAAAAATTAGTTCACTCAACCAAGTCTTTGTATTACTGTGTTATGAAGTACGGGATTGTTTCAGTGCACCGTAAAACGATGCATCTTTTGATTTTTTATTTACTAGTAGGGCATATTATTCAGTGAAGCTATTAAATGCCTGTTAAATTACTAACCGTAATCGTCTGTACATACTTCAAGTGTAGGACGTTATTTAGGCAACTTAGTTTGAAGCACTCCAGATAAAGGTCATTTTGAGTTTAAACAAATTAATAGGGAATAAGGAACAACTTCCAAATAATGATTAACCGAGTGGTTATAGCAAAGCAACCGGCTGTGAAATCGTGAACACTGAGCAACAAGTTCGTGAACTCCAACCTTCTACAAAAGTAGGGAGTTGAGCTAAACGTGTTTTTTATTGTGAACATATTAAACAACATTTTAAAAAGGAAAGTTAATTATGATACCACAGCAGATCTGGTACCTTATCTTTTGGTATTTAAAATGGTGATGAGTTGAAAACATTGTATGGTATTAGTCTAAGTGTAGGCCTGATTCACGCTGAACAGTGTGCACAGTTAAATTAGCAAATTATCTCAGCTAGTTGGAGATTTGAAAGGGGGCATAACCGTGCACGTCTATACTTGTGTTTATTGCCTGTGTAACATCTTACAGGGTTGCATCGGGGTCTTAAGTTTATCGGTTGTGAAAATCCGTCGCTGCCCTCAAATGTGTTATCCGAACATTTGCCTTTAGTTTTTGTTGTATGTTTTCCACAGAAGTGATCGGGACATTTTTTGTTATCTCCCAAATCAATTTCTTAAAAGGCAATAAGCGATCAGATTTGATCTGAAAAGTATGATATTTATTGCAAACGTCAGTAACAGTTATTCATTACTACATATCAAAATGTAAAGGGCAGATTTTATTAAAGGGTGTCCTGAAAAATGTGTTTTCAGGTAGTTATTCGAATCTGATGAAGTTTGTGTTGTCGCTGTCAACAAATTATCAGGAACATAGAAGCCAGTGAAAAGCAAAACTTCCAATATTAATTTACTACAAAAATAATGTATTTTTGTTTTGTTACTTCACCGGCTGTGTTTTATATGCTAAACATCTTGTCCAACTCTTTTTAAAGCTCGCTGTTGCTTAGCAGCCTAGGTTTAGTTTATTCACACGAAGAGCTAGCGCTGAGCTTTGTGGATGGCCGCCTAAAGAGGGTTTCTGTTGATCTACTCTGTAATGGGGAAGAAAAGCTTTTATAAATTGTGCCACGCTGAAATATCAAGTTCTGATGTATTCGTTACCACAATTACGCACCATTCTTAGTTGTGCACTATTTGACCCTTGAAGGGTTTAGTCTGGTTTGAAGAAGAAAGACTTGATTTTCCAAAATCATACAGAAATTGCCTTGTCTTGACTTGAATACTGAAGTAGAAGTGATGAACTCGAGAATGATGCAGTGGATCCACAGTCCCATAAAACGTGAAGGCATTTGATCTTGTCTTCTGTGCAATTTAAAGGCACAGTAGCATTTAATGGAAGCTAAACACTGGCAATTTGTCTTTTCAGCAGAACTAGAAAGACTTAATTGAATCTTTAATTGAACAAAGAAATTGCAAGTGTTTTTATCTGCTCAAAACTTGGAGGTTAATTGTGTTTCTTAAGTCTCCAGCACACTTAGGAACTGAAAACCAGTTCAAATTAAGCCCATTATGAGGTCATGAAGCATTCATTATTGTAATTCAGAACTCAGCTAGAGCAAATGCCAGCAGGTAAATCTTGATTTGAGCTTTTGTTTTTAAATGTGAACTAGATTGAAACTGCATAGACAGGTATATTGTTCAGGGCTAGATGGTCCTTCGTGTTTACTGCTGCAATTCCCTGGCAATAAGCCGGTGTTGGATCCGAGCTCCCTAGGATATGTATGTTGCAGTACTACCTACGATGTATCAGCTGAAATTTACTTTCCTTGCTCTATCTGAAATGGCTCCAGAGAAGAGCTGCAAAGGAACAATTAAAGGTTAATTCCACACTGGAAAGTAGAAAGAAGAAAGTATTTCATCCTTTGAACCATATTCAGGCTTGCGGGAGAAAGAGGAAGGTAGCAGGGATATAAAGCAAAAAAGAACTAAAGACAGCAGCTGAAAGGACACTGCATTCTTGTCTGCTCCGTCTTGTGTCCTCCTGTGCTTTATATCCCTGCTACCTTCCTCTCTCTCCCTTCAAAAGCCAAAACATTTTCTTTTTCTACTTTCCCTGCTATTGTGCTCCTCCCTCATGGGGATTCATTTATCCTGACAGAGCATGGTGGGTATGTCTGAGTAAACAAGTGGATACCCCACCCCCACCCCCACTCCCACATTAGTGATTGAAGGGGATTCGAATGAACATTCTGCTCAAGCTGTCTGGAAGCAGGGATATAACTGGTTCTGACATAGTTCTGAAACCCAGAAGCAGAGAAGGGGTTAATTTCACAGGGCTGCCTGTGATACTGTGCTGACACTGAAGAAATTCTTGTCTATCCCAAGAGTCAGTCTGTCCTGGACAGCACAGGTGCAGAGCGTCTCTCTACTGAGCCAGTCCTCCTTCTAGATGGGAACATGCATCAAGCGTTCCTGTAATGAAGCCTTTTCTGCATCCCATCCGGCCTCCGTAATGTTCATATGGAGCTTGAATCCTGAGTGCCTGGGAAGGAGGAAAGGAAACAGTGGCAGCAGGAAGTGCGGCAGCTGACAGGGTCAAATAGAGGTGCTGTACAATCGTGATAACAGCCGTCTAAGTCTTGCCGGAAAGTCTTTTGGGTGGAAACGTGGATGGGAATACCATTAGTGGTAGAAGGAAGTGTTTTTGTTTTATTCTGCTTTTCACAGAGTTAAAATAATAAAATCTGGTTGACAGTTTCACTAAAGAAATGAGAGTTTGTATTCATTAAGCATCTAACTCTTCTGCCTGCTAGGGTCATATATTGGACCCCATATATTCATCATATATTCATTGGTTGGACTGTGTAGGGGTTAGCATTGCTGCCTCGCAGTGCTGGGTACCTGGGTTCAGTTCCAGACCTGGTTTCCCATCTGCGTGGAGTTTGTATGGTCTCTCTGTGTTCATGTGGGTTTCCTCTGGGTGCAGAGGACAGACCTGCTGGTTAATGGGCTTCTGGGAAAATTGGCCCTGGTGTGAGGTTGTGTATGTCTGTGGTTATGTCTGTATGTGCCCTGTGATAGACTGGTATCCCATCCAGGATGTATCCTGCCTTGCACCCATTGCTTGTGGGGTTAGGCTCATTGATTTAGAGTTCTTGTTAATGTAAAACACAGGGAATAATGTGGGGAAATTAGACAAATAATACCGAAGACTATAAAAGGTTATGTGGTAACTATAAGATAAACCTCTGAAAAGACTGCAATTAATGCTACGTCTACAGAAAGCATTGGCCATTCTTCATTGGTCACCTAGCAAAAGATTATTGCACAGAATATTTCTTAATATTGCTAGTTGGGATTTCTTGAGGTTTGTCTAGTTAAATACTTCTCAATTTCAGTCATATAAAAGGCCCCTGGTTGTTAAAACGAATGGTTGTTTTGATATGCAATGCTTTAGATCTTGCCTGTGGGCACATTATTTGCAGTGAAAGGTTTTTTCCTCTCGTCATAGTCATGTACAGACAAGTGGTGTTCAAACACCAACAGCTCATTGTCAGCACTTGCAGGCATCACCTCTATGAGTGAGGCGTGCAGAGAGGGGTTAACGTGGCAAGTGCATTCCAGTTGGTTTCTATGACAACATTCTGCTGTCTGACATGTCAGCTGTTTTCAAGGGAGTGCCCACAGTAAAAAAAAAAATGAAGCAGAGGTTTTCTATAAAGCATAATTGTGGGGGGTTCCTATATCTTCAACTGCTGTTGTGAAATACATTTTAAATGTGGAGGAAAAGTGTGAAAAGTCCCAAGATGTCCAAATAACCATCCTTTATGTCAACACGCTGAATTTGATACCGGTAGCGAGAGAACCCTGAAAGGCAAATAATCAGTGCTGGGTCTGCCTTCAAAGTCCCTGATCCCGTATCCTGTAGAAATGTAGATCTGAAGGGATCTATAACTGTAAGAAAACTGGTTCAAAAGGGAAAACACCTTGGGTCCAGTGCTTCCATATCTGAACAGAAAAACTAAAGGGTTTACTTGCTGATGCAGAACCTAGAGTATGACGTAGTGGCTTTCATTTAGTGCTTTTCATCCCAGGGTGCTTTGGGAGGAACCACTTCACTCACCACTGAAGTGCAGCAGTGAACTGGGTGACATGTGGGAGCCATTATATGCTAGGAGCCCCGCTACACAGCAGTGAGAAACTGATTCACAAGCTGAATGAAGTGGTAACCTTGGGAAATTCTGTTGCTCTTTTGACCTTCCTGCACTATTTACAGTACTATGTAAATAGTACAGAAGAAATAACACTGTTGTATTGAGTTACAAAAGCATTAAAGCGTATGATCTCTAAGGAGCTTTAGGGATGTTGTATTTATTTTTATTCTTACTGTTGAATTGTCACCTTTTGTTGCACTCGGGTGCCTGATTAAATAAAAACAAAAACAACACACAATGTGGATATCAAGCTAGGGAATGTGACCTCAATCCA